ATTTGTATCTTCTTACTCGACAAGTAATACGGAGTTTAATTCTTCAGATCAGGGACTATTGTGTAAGTCACATTGTACTTTGGTGAAATTCATTTCTTAGTACCAAGGGGACAACTCAGTAATAAGCGGCAGGACACTCCAGCCTTTATAATATTTAAGCTGTAGTTTAATGAACATTATGTTTATATTAAAGCTATAGAGATCAGGTAACTAATAATATAAACGTTTAAAGTGTGATCTTTCTACTCAATTCCAAGTTGTAAGTACAAAAAGATTGGAACCAAAATTAAGGGAATCCAATTATATGTTAATTTTATTACAAAAATATTGTCTTATTTAGAGACAACTGTTAAAATTCAGTCGTGTCCCTCTTACTTCCACGGAATTTTGGAATCCAGATAATGTCATTGCAGTTCGATATCACTGCAACTCTTCAACTGAGTTTGTTGAAGGAAAAAAGTGGTTTTGTTCATTTTGTTTTTAGAACTTTTGAATAACATCAACTTTCTCTTAGGTAACCAGAATTGTGTCATCTTTGCCATCAGGCCAGTGTTCATGAGGTGAACTGAGGGAGCGGCTTTGTAGTCATTAGCTCTGGAAAGTAGAGTCACAGTGATAGCAGTGCCTGTGGTAGGCCCCGTCATGACCACACACAAAGGTATCAGTGTCCCGCTCACCACAGCCTCTAGTCGCCTCTCGCTGTGATCCGCAGCTGAAACGGCACATGCAAACGATCACTTCTGAACTAGTCAGAGCGCAAACATTTTACCATGTTCAGCCTCCGACAGGCTACTAACAGAGTTACTCCAGTTTTATAGATCATATTAGTAAGCATGGACTCTTAAAAGTAACCTCTATTATTCCATTAACACTGAGATCCCTGAGTGGGACCAGTGACTGCTGGACAGCGTATGGCCACTTAACCTGGAAGAGCCACAGATTCCAATTCTCAGGAATTAAGTGTGTTTTGTATTTCTTCCTCAGAATACCATACAGCAGTCCTTGTAGGTGATTTTTTTAAATACTAGACTTATTTTTTATTGAAACGTATTTGACATACAATGCTAACGTTAAATTAGTGTCAGGTGTACAGCACGGTGATTCAAGATTTATATACATCATGAAGTGTTTACCATGAGAAATTTAGTTGCCATCTGTCACCACCCAATACATATTATTAACTGTATTCCTCGTGCTGTTGATTTTGTTCCCATGTCTTATTTATTTTATGACTGGAAGTTTGTACCTTTTAATTCCCTTCCACTATTTTGCCTATCACCTCTCCCCTGCCCGCCCCCCAGCAACCAGCAGATGTTCTCTTTAGCTGTGAGCTCGATTTTTTTTTAATTTCACATATAAATGAGATCATACAGTATTTGTTTTTCTCTCATTTCACTTAGCATAATACCCACTAGGTCCATCCTTGTTACAGATGGCAAGATTTCATTCTTTCTTAATGACTTAATATTCCATTGAATATGTTATACAGGCATACCTCAGAGATAGTGTGGATTCAGTTCCAAACCATCGCAATGAAGCAAATATTGTAATAAAGCAAGTCAAATGAATTTTTTGATTGCCTAGTATATAAGTTATGTTTATACTCTACTATAGTCTATTAAGGGTGCAGTGACATTATGTCTTAAAAAAGCAATGTAACAACTGGGGGATTAAGGGATGCTGCCCCCGCCTCACTCCCATGCAGTTGAAAATCTCTGTGTAACTTATGACTCCCTCTAAACTTAATAGCTTCTGTTGACCAGAAGCCTTACTGAGAACATAAATGGTCAATTAACACATGCTTTGTATAATACATATATTTTTAAATAATAATAATAATAATAATAATTAAAGTTCCCCCCAGCTTAATTCCAAAAATAGATATTAAATAATGTATAAAAGGAAAAGGAGCTGATGTTGGGTTCGGCTTGCATCCCCTTCTCTTTATCCTAGCTCTTCTCGTATCTTGCCTATTTTGGGGGGCATTTTCTTAGAATGGGGATCTTCTACACCTCCTTGGCTTTATAATAATGGAGAGCCACCTCCAGAAGCCAACTGCCTTCAATCTCTTCAATACCTGTCTCATGAACTCCTTGGTAGTCAAGACAAGTTCATGGTAGAGCAACCAGTGTGGCTGTTCCTCAAAGAGGGAGGAGTTGGGGTGAATGAACACTGTCTGCTGCTGTTTGTGCGATAGCTAGCCACTACGGGTCAACCGGGCCGTGTGGTAAAAGCCAGCTGTGATGGCCTTGCGTACACGGATATAGTCCCCCTGGCAGGAGCTGTGACCCTGCTTATTGTAATAAGGGTCTTATTCTTACAGTAAGCTAGAGAAAACATTAAGAAAATCATAAGAAAAATGTATTTATAGGTACTGTATTTATCAAAAACATCTACATATAAGTGGACCTGTGCAGTTCAAACCCATGTTCAAGGACAAACTATATCTACTTTTAAGTAAAAAAATGTTTCATTGATAAGAAGAATGCTAACCATCATCTGAGCTTCAGTGAGTTGTCCTTTTGCTGGTGGAGGGGACTTGTCCCCATTGTTGATGGCTGCTGACTGATTGGGGTGGTAGCTGTGGCCATTTCTTTAAGACAACAATGATGTTTGTTGCATCGATTGACTCTTCCTTTCACAAACGATTTCTGTGTAGCATATGATGCTGCTTGATGGCACTTTATCCACAATAGAACTTAATTCAAAATTAGGAATCAGTTCTCTGTCAAACGCTGTTGCTGTTTTATGAACTAAGTTTATGTAATATTCGAATGCTTTGTTGTCATTTCAACAATCTTCACATCTTCACCAGCAGTCGATTCCATGTCAAGAAACCACTTTTAATTCCAGTTCTTTTGCTGTTTCTATCCTATCTATAGCTACTTTCTCCACTGAAATCTTGAACTCCTCAAAGCCATATAGGTGGGGATCAGTTTCTTCCAAGCTCCTGTTTATGTTAATATTTTTACTTCTTCCCATGCATCAAGCATGTTCTTAATGGCATCTAGAATGGTAAATCCTTTCCAGAATGTTTTCAGTTGACTTTGCCCAGATCCATCAGAGGAATCACTGTCTATGGTAGCTATAGTCTTACAAAATATACTTCTTAGGGACCCCTGGTGGTTCAGCAGTTGAGCGTCTTTGGCTCAGGGCGTGATCCAAATTCAAGGATCGAGTCCCACATCAGGCTTCCTGCATGGAGCCTGTTTCTCCCTCTGCCTATGTCTCTGCCTCTCTCTGTGTCTCTCATGAATAAATAAAATCTTTTTTTTTAAAAAAAAAAAAAACTTCTTAAATATTAAGACTTGAAAAATGAACGGACTCCTTAATCCATGGACTGCAGAATGGATGCTCCATCAGAGCTTCGGGTGACCAGGTTCATTGTCAATGAGCAGTAGTATTTTGAAAGGAATCTTTTTTTTTTTTTTTTAAGATTTTATTTATTTATTCATGAGAGAGAGAGCCAGACTCCATGCAGGGAGCCTGACGTGGGACTTGATGATCCTATGTCTCCAGGATCACGCCCTGGGCCGAAGGCGGCGCCAAACCGCTGAGCCACCCAGGCATCTCAAGCAGCAGGTTTCTAAAGTGGGCTTTAAATATTCAGTAAACCATGTTGTTAACAGATATGCAGCCATCCAGGCTTTGTTGTTCCATTTTACAGAGCACAGGAAGAGTAAATTTAGCAGAATTCTGAAGGGCCCTAGGATCTTCTGAATGCTAAATGAACATTGGTCTCAAATTCACCAGCTGTATTAGCCCCTAACAAGAGAGTCAACCTGTCCTTTGAAGCTTCGAAGTTAGACATTGACTTCTCCTCTCTAGCTATAAAAATTCTAGATAGCATCTTCTTCCAAGGGGGCTGTTTCATCTACATTGAAGATCTGTTATGTAGCCACCTTCATAAATGATATTAGCTGATCTCCTGGATAACTGTCAGCTTCTACATTGGCACTTGCTGCTCCATCCTGCCCTTTTATGTTATGGAGACGGCTCCTTTCCTTAGACCTCCAGAACAAACCAACCACCCCCTGCTAGCTTCCATCTTCTCTTTGGCAGCTTCTTTACTTCTCAGCCTTCATAGATTTGAAGAGTTATGGGCTTGCTCTGGATTCAGCTTTAACTGGCTTAAGGGAATGTTGTGGTTGGTTTAATCTTCTGTCCAAACCACTCAAACTTTCTGCATATCAGCAATAAGACTGTTTCACTTTTTTTAAAAAAGATTTTATGTATCAATTCATGAGACACACAGAGAGAGGCAGAGACAGGCAGAGGGAGAAGCAGGCCCCATGCAGGGAATCTAACGCAGGACCTGATCCCGGGTCCCCAGGATCACACCCCGGGCTGAAGGCAGCGCTAAACCACTAAGCCACCGGGGCTGCCCCTGTTACACTTTATCATTCATGTATTTACTGGAGTACTAGTTTTAATTTCAAGAACTTTGTCTTTGTATTGGCAACTTGGCTATTTGGCACAAGAGGCATAGTTCTTTGCCCATGTTGGGCTTTTAACATGTCTTCCTCATCAAGCTTCATTATTTTCACCCTTTGAGTTAGAGTGAGAAACCTGTGACTCTTCCTTTCACTTGAACACTTAACTTAGGTCGATTAGTAATCCTACAATGGCCTCTAATTTCAGAATTGTTGTGTCTCAGGAAACAGGGAAGCCCAAGGAGGGGAGAGAATGGCTGGTCGATGGAGCAATGAGAATAAAATAAAAAGTGATAATCCAGGGCAGCCCGGGTGGCTCAGTTGGTAAAGCACCTGCCTTCAGCTCAGGTCAAGACCTCAGAGTTCTGGGATTGAGCCCCACATTGGGCTTCTTGCTCAGTGGGGGGGTCTGCCTCTCCCTATCCCTGTGGCCTCTCCCCCCATGCATGATTTCTCTCAAATAGATAAGATCTTAAAGTGATAATGCATGTGTAGATGAATTTGTATGCCCGAGTAAAACAAGTCTACTCTGAATTACACAATGAATAAGAATGTGAGTTAGAAAAATTAAAATATGAATTTCAAATATTTTATTAAGGGAAAACAATTTTTGGGTTTCTAAAACCTTTAAAAACATTATAAAACATTTATAAAAAAGCTTCACAAAATACAAATTAAATCAGCCAGATATTTTGACTAACCTCATGATTTACTATAAAAATCAAGTATTACAAACGCTTGTGGATTTTTACTTTATAGTAATTCCCTGAGGACTTCATTTCACATATATCAAACCCTTTCACCATGTCTAATACCAATAGGAACTATTTTTTTAAGTTCTCATTACACCATTAAGACATTTTAAATTGCTGTATCAAATTTCAACCTAATGATACTTATATAAAAAGATGGAAAATGTGTTTTGAATATAGATACATAAAACAGATTCTATCATTTAGATTTTGGAAAGAAATGCAGCTTTTTAGTTAGCATTGAGGCAAAGCAGGGAACCTGCTTCTTTCCAATTGCATTTGGGTCTTTGCAAAAGTCCACTCGGCGCTGAGAAACTTTCCTGTTCACCAGGGTGAGTAGTTCTGTGAACTCTAAGGAGGAGCCAAATTTTCCCAGCATCTCACACAGATCTTGAATGTACCATGAGCCATTCACAGTTTCCCGATGAGAATAATAACCTAAAAGGAGGAAAAAGGGCACTGAGGTTTTTTTGGCTTTCAGTTACTTTAACTGAAAAACACCGTTATAATGCAGCACTATAGAAGTTCTCAAAAATTTTTGCAGAGTTAAGATGTGTCTGTGATAGTTTCAAAATTTTTCTCAGTTGATTAGTCTCATATGGGAAAAGGGATTAATTTATACAATTTTCTGAAAATGGGGTTACTCTAGTTCGTAAAAATTCCCAAGATCATAGTCACCCAGGGGTAATTCTGACACATGAGATTAGAAAGGAAAACATAGTCTGCTACATGAGCAAGGAAGAACCGTCTTCAAAGTATCTTCAACAAAGCTTTCCATGAATATTATCATGACACCAGCACAATCAACAGAGAATAGGCAGCTAATATTCAATCTGACTTATAACTTAACATGGTTCTCAGGAATGATTTTTCTGTAAGTTACTTTATATTGCCTATATCACTGTGTGCCATGTGAGCAAAGAAATCTAAGACTGTAGACTTTAGGATCAAATCAAGGTATCTGACAAAAATACCAGTCTGAAGCCCAGGGAAAACTTACAGGAACTCAAGTCAGGAAGGCCTAGTCTTTGTTTGTATTAAACAGCCACCCACCTTCTGCAACAGAGTAACACATGAGAAAATCCGCTCCAGCAGGCAGCGTGTACACTGAGGCCGCATCCACCTCCGTTATGTTGTCCTCCAGCTTGTCTGTCCGATGATCCACTACATCCATCGGAAGGACTGGCACGTCATGCTGGTCTCCTCGACACGCCTAGGAGAAGAGGAGGGAAAACCACTGTCTTTTCTTACCTACTCTTTTCTTCCCAGTGTTTAATACTTACAGTGAATGTAGAATTTAGCACACTTCCACATCAGCATCAACAGAAGCCTCTTTATAGGTAATTCAGAAACCATGCTGTCAAGTTCTGGAACAAATTAAGCTGACAGTTTTTCCCTACTTAGGTTTTCTTTTAATTAATGTCTTCAAAAAACGGTCTTCCTCAACTGTATACCAGATTGTGTGGATGGAAAGGTATGCTATAGAGAAAGCCTCTGTGGTTCTAAGGTTTCTTATGGATTAACCACACTAAAGCACCAGGATGCTACCCCTTTTTTTTAAAGGCTATGGTATTTGCCTAAGGTATTTCTGTTTTTAAGTTTTTTTTTATTAGAACAAGCAGGGGGAGGGGCGGAAGGAGAGGAAGAAGCAGACTGCTGAGCAGGGAGCCCAACATGGGACTCGATCCCAGGACCCTGGGATCATGAGCCAAAGGCAGACACTTAAGTGACTGAACCACCCAGGTGCCCCTTGCCTAGTGTTTCTATTGAATTAGGGAATATATTCCCAGACTGGGTTGTGCTTGCTTAGCTGCTGCCATAAACTGTCAAAATGCTACCTACCACCTGACCTGAGAAGACATCTTTTCATGTGCCGTATTCTTTTTGCTTGTACTTCAGGAGTGTCTCAAATTCTTATCCACCAATCCTGAATCACACAAAGGCTGACATTAATTTCTACTCTTAAATGACTGTTATGGGCTGAATTTTGTCACCCCCTCTCATTTATATGTAGAAGTCCGAACCCTCAGAATCTCAAATGTGACTATTTCGAGACACAGCCTTTGAAAAAGTAACTAAGGTAAAATGAGGTCTACTGTGCTTCTAATTTATAATTAGCGTCTTAGATTAGGACACAGACATGCACAGAGGAAAGACCATGTGAAGGTACAGGGACAAGACTGCCATGTCCAAGCCAAGGACAACTGCTAGCTTGATCTCAGACTTCTAACCTCCAGAACTGTAAAAAAAAAAAAAAAAAAAGCATTTCTATTGTTTAAGCCACTCAGGCTGTGTACTTTGTTCCGGCAGACCTTGTAAATTTAATACAATTTCAGAGTGGTATTTGAAGAGTTATAAGCTTTAAAAAAAGTCCTGAGTGATTTCAGTGCTCAGATAAATAGACCCCTAATACTCCATTTTTACAGGGAGATTTTAATCTTACGTTACCAGGCTTTTTTTCAGAACTTATTTTCCACTGTCTTCCTCTAGGTCATATAAAACACCTAGAATTTTGATGCTCTCACTTGCCAAATCAGTGACAGCTGAGAGCTAGCCTTTATTGAGGGCTTGCATGTACTAGGCACTGTTCAGTCTTTTTTCATTTGTTAGGCGGCTGTTTATCCTCACAGCCACCCATAAGGCAGTGCTATTTTCTCCCCGTTTCACAGATGAAGAATCGGAGGCACAGAGGAATAAAATAACTTGGCAAAATATTTTCCTCCTTTGTGTCTATCCCCACATAGTAGCTTGCTAGTTGTTTCTAATTCTCTTGTCTCTGTCGGTACTGGCACTCCTTTTCATGAAGCACTCATGTCATGATTTTCCCTGATTTTTCCCATTTGCTGGGCCATCCCCCTCAGTGTCCCTCCCCTTAAGGCTTTATGGCAGGTGGAATGTGGCCATGCCTTCCATGCTGTTTATACATACAGAATTGCAGGCACTGGAACATGGTGCAAATTCCTTACTGATGTGCCAAATGAGAGGTTTCAGGCCCAAACATTTTTATCCCTAATACCAGTTTGGTTGAAGGGAAAGGTGAGAGGGTGAAGTAAGCTAGCCCCAGAATACCTGCATTCTGCCCACTGGCCTCCATGCGTGGTGCTCTTAAAGAGACCCTTTTTCTGGCAGCTCCCCTTGACGTTGGTTGGGCCACAGTGTGGCACATTGGTTATTTTAAGTCCTTTCAAATGTCAATCTATTAATAAACTGATAATCTTTATTATTTATTCATTCCTTAAGAAGGAATTACTACTAATGGGAATTGCTAACTAATTGCAACTCTGATTGGCTAGGAACCCAAAGCGGCCCTGGCCTTTCCAATTAATGGAGAAAATTACTTGCAAAATTGGCTTTAGTTCTTTATAATCACATGTGCAAAACCATGGACTTACAGTTAAGATTGTAACATAATCAGTCTTACCTGAATGATAAATATCTTGGGTTTTCCAACTAGGCTCTGACATTTGTCTCCTTTGAATAAGCCAGTCAGTGTCTGAATTTCAATTTTGGCATCATATGCATAAATGTGATTTCCTTCACCATGACTCAGGAACACACATAAAAAGCAATCGGCATCTATGTGGCTAGAGGTTGATGCTGTAAAAGTCCCCCAAGAGTTCACAAAGAAATAAAGATGTCTATTATGTACATATAAAAAATTCAATTTACTAACACTAGAATAAAGCTACATATGATGGAGGAGGAAAATTTATTATAATAAATGTAAAAAGGAAACATAACTTAGTCTTTAATCAAAACCATACTGCATCTGATTTTTAAAAACCTACTAAAAATTCAAAGAGTTTAAACAAATTTCATTAGCTTTTCTACAACAAAGAATAATGGCACGGAAAACATAATGGGATTATTGTGCAATAAAAGTTTCTTTGAATTAGCAGAGAACTTCTGAGAACAGATGGGAAAGACCCAACAACTACTAATTAACAACTGCTATGTGCTGTCGCCACCCCCAGTGAATGTAGCAGCTTCGCTGTATGTCAGCAGCATTTACAGCTTCCAAACCTTATGAGCACTATAGTAGAAAACCTGGTAAGCAGCCAGTTAAAATTAAAATGATTTACAGATTAAAGGAGTCTAGTACAGAGGTTCAAAATTTTAAAACAGAACTACCACAGGATCCAGCAGTTCCACTATTAGAATTTATTGATGGAAACGAAAATACTAATTTGGAAAGACACTTGCATCCCCCATGCTCACTGAAGCACAATGGTCAAGATATGCAAACAACCTAAGTGTCCATCAGTGAATGAATGAAGAAAATGAGATATAGACATACAGATATATGTATGTGTGCATGTATATATATATCCATTTATGGCTGATTATTCTTCAGCCATAAAAAAGGAAACCTTGGCCTTTGCAATAACATGGATCTTGAGGTCATTATGGTAAATGAAATAAATCTGAGAAACACAAATACCATACGATCTCACTTACATGTGGAATAAAAAAAAAAAAACAAGCCAAACCCACAGATAGAGAACAGATTGGTGGTTGCTATTAGGTATGATAAAGTGGGTCAAAAGGTACAGGCTCCCAATTATAAAAGAAGTCATGGGGATGTGATACACAGCCTAGTGTCCATAATAATACTGTATTATATATTTGAAAGTTGCTAAGTAAAATTTTAAAATCCTTATCACAAGAATTTTTTTTTTTTGTAATTATGGTGACAGATGGCAACTACATACTGTGGTCACCATTTTACAATGTATACAAATACTGAATCGTTTTGTTGTACACCTGAAACTGATATATTATATCAATTACACCCCATTTTTTAAAAACCTCTACAGCATAAATATAACAGTCCATTGCAAATGACTTGAAAATCCACGGCACGCAGTAATTATGATAAACATAAGTTAGAGTACCTACTGCATGGTGATGTAGAAATTTAGAGACAGTATATGTAAAACCATTTTTTTTAATAAAATATTTTGAAGCCATAATATTTTGAAGCCAGTAAAAAACTTGGGTATAGGAGTGAATTGAAACATGACACCACCCCCCCCCCCCCCCCCCCCGCCGCTCTCAAAAAGGATGTCTGTGTGGCTCAGCGGTTGACCGTCTGCCTTCAGCTCAGGTGGTGATCCTGGAGTCTTGGGATCAAGTCCCACATCAGGCTTTCTACAAGGAGCCTGCTTCTCCCTCTGCCTGTGTCTCTGCCTCTCTCTGCTTTTCTCATGAATAAATAAATAAAATCTTAAAAAAAAAAAAAAAGCTGCCCAGCATCTGTAGTATTTGCACTTTGACTTTTAATTGCCAAATGAGGCCATTTCATTCATTTCTAAAATAACAGACTGTAACGAGTGGTATGCTAAATACAAAGTTTGGAGGCATAATACTTTGCAAAAGTCTCTGAATCTGGTGGGTAATAACATATAAGCAGAGGCACAACCAGACCTGTAATCCATGCTAAATTAGTTGGTAAGACTTTTTGTTTTACAACACAGTTAAGTATTTGGATGTATTTATAGATAGGATACTAATCCCCTCAGAAGATAAATAGGAAAACTACTCACCCTCATGAATTTTGAGCAGTAGTTCTTCTGCTTTAAGATCATTAAAGCATTTCACCTCAAATCCTAGTTCTGAAAACCTGGTGATAAACTGGATATTAGCTTATGAGCTATTCAAAGTTGTCACATACCCATATTTACTTGGAATACATATATATATACATGTTTTTATGACCTATAAATTGATCTTGGGAAAGAAAAAATGAAATATGACAATGATGGTTTCCCCTGGTCACCCACAATTAGGAAAGGATTTACTTATAACGGTTCAAGTTAGGATACTGTCATCTGCTATGCAAATATGTATGTGATGATGCGGAGCCTGTTAACATTTAATAGAAGAGAGTTAGAGGAAAACTGAGGCCAGTTCTCATGAGCTGCTCTGCCCAAGCGAGGCACCCCTTCAGACACTCTTGCTCTGTTATTTCCTCAGTAGGAACAAGTTCTGACGAGTATCCTGTAAATGTCCCATCCTTGTGACGTGTAGATAAAACCAGTACCTGCGCACGAGATTATCCCTGTCTGCGCTGGTGCCGCGCCTGTCCGGCAATGTCAGGTGCCAGAAGAACCGCTCGTGATTGAAGATCAAAGCAATTCCTCTCCTCTTGTGGTCCATTTTGTACTTTTCTTCCGGGTCAAACATTTCTCTGTTGATGAGAAGTTTAAACAATAATCACTTTAAGTCACACTAAATAACGAGCTCTACGCCCAAGACCCACGTGTGGGGCAGACAGGTCTGCCCTTTTCCCCTCCCCTGCCAGGCTGACATGCTACTGGTGTGCACTGGGAAAGCCTCACAGCCAAACTGGTAAGGAAAACGCTGAAATATTTCTGTACTGATTGGTAAACAGCAGCCATCCCGAGCACCCCCTGCCCAGGCCCCTCCAGGGGTATCTTTTGTCCAGGAACTGGGGATACCAGCCCGCCCAGGCCCAGCTCTGGCTCCAGGGTCTGCGCCACACCAGTTCCTAAATATTTTGAACATCATTGTAGGTCCTCACATGACCAGGGGCGGCAGCCAACCCCCAGGTCTACGAGCCCCCTGTTCCAATGCTAACACTCAGTCATTCTCCACTCTACTTGCTCCCAGGCCCCCTTCTTGCTTCTTGTGGACTGGTCATGATCAGCAAAGGAAGAGATCTTTATTAGGAAAGAGCACATTCCTACCTCTTATAGAAGGCATCAGTTTCTGTCACATTTTGTTCCTCATCTATTTAAAAAAAAAAGTTGAATTTTGTTAATTTACTTTTTGACTTGTGGTAAAACACAGCCAAGATTCCCGCACCCTAAACCCTTAAATGTCGAGTATATGGGGTGCCTGGGTGGCTCAGTGGTTGAGCATCTGCCTTCGGCTCAGGTCGTGATCCCGGGGTCCTGGGATCGAGTTCTGCATCAGGCTCCCTGAAGGGATCCTGCTTCTCCCTCTGCCTGGGTCTCTGCCTCTCTGAGTGTGTCTCATGAATAAATAAATAAAATCTTTAAAATAAAAAATAAATGTCAAAGTATATGAAAAGAAGGGGGGCAAGGAAGGGAAGCTGCTTAATAATAAATGAACGATAAACTGACAGCTCAACTTTCTCACCCCAAATTCTCATTTGCAAAATGGGAAGTGTGCGATCAAGAGAAATAGAGAAAATACGATGCAAATGCATTCACTGCAGAATATGCCTACAGAAACAGAGTAATGTAATCGCAGAACTATGGACTAGAGCAAATGAAATACGGGAATGTTTTGCAGAAAATGTTTTTGCAGCTATCTCTGTAAACGAAGAAATTCTACACAGTAGAACTGAAACACCGGGTGTGGTTAATACTGGATTACCCTGACCTGGAAGAGGGAGAGGTCTGGGCGGGGAAAGGGGAGAGGCAAGGGCAAAGGCCCTAAATTTTGGATCTCCTGAGTGGCACACTGGCACTTACAACCCATCACGTGACAGGGACCTTGTGGGCCACCCTTCACTGAACCCTTCTCTACTCTTGGAACAGTGCTGTGCACCAGAACTTTCTGCAGCCAGGGAACCGTTCTGTACATCTGCTGTCCTGTATGCGCGCCGCAGGCCACAAGTGGCTGAGGATGTGAAATGGGGCTAGCGCAGCCAAGGAAGAAGGCAGGCTCTCATTTAATTTCATTTTTTTAAAAGAAGATTTTATTTATTCATGAGAGGCAGGCTCCACGTGGGGAGCTCGAGGCGACTCGATCCAGGACCCGGGATCACGACCTGAGCCCACGGCAGCTGAGCCACCAGTGCCCTAATTTTAAGAGCCCCGGTGGCCAGCGGCTTGTGTACCGAACAGCAGGAGGCCCACGCGCCCGTGGCGGCCCCGAAGGGAGGGAAAGTAATGAATAAACACATGCTAAGAGTACAGCAAGCTGCTCCTCCCCCTCCGAGTCGCTACAGGAAGCCTGTGAGACCCTCTGCCTCGGCGTCACCAGGAGGGTCCTGTTCCCTCCTCCGCGACCACGGCTGTCCTAACCTCACGTCTCCCGTCTCCTCACAGCCGTCTGCCCCAGAGGAGGGACAGCACCGCGCTGCACCCGCACTTTGAGCCTGTTCCTCCGGGAACCCTCCAGCCCCGCCGAGCCCAGCCCCCACCCCCTCGCGCTGGACGGCGCGTGCTCCCCCCCACAGCCCCTCCCATTCCCCGCGCCGCCCCCCCGGGGCCGCCCCCCCCCCCCGCCCCGCGAGCCGTGCGGGCGTCGGCGCCCCTGCCGCTGCCCAGCGGGGTTTCTCCACAGCCCGCGGCCCGGGAGCCCCTTCCTGCGGGGACGTGGGGGGCTCCCCACTGGCCCCTGCCGCCCCCAGGCGTCCTCGCCGCGCGCAGTGCCCCTCGGCCACTCCCCGCTTCAGCCCTGCTCTGCCGAACACCCTTGTATCCTCCGGGCTTGTGCTCCGCCAGGCGACCTCGGGGCCCCTCGCCGCCGCACCGCGCCGCCCCCCCGGGGCTGCTGCCTCCGCCCCGCCGCTGTGCCTGTGCCGGGCGGCTTCCTGGCCGCACACTGCAGGGCCGCGGCGGCCTCCCACCCACGCGCCGCTCCAGGGGCTCTTCCCAGAAGACCGTGCCCTCCGCGGATCCTTCCCTGGCACGCGCCTCTCACTAGGACACTTTTTCTAGGATTTTTATCTATTTCCTCCTGAGAGACACAGGCAGAGGGAGAAGCAGGCTCCACGCAGGGAGCCCGACGTGGGACTCGATGCCGGGATTCCGGGACGCCGCCCTGGGCCGCAGGAAGACGGTCACCCACCGGCTGAGCCACCCGGTGCCCCTACTAGGACACCTTCTGCGACACTGCTCCGCCCAGGACACTGCCTTACTGCAGACACCACTCTTCTGGAGAGTCCTCCTACATCACACAATCCTACCCAAGTACCCCCTCACCCTCCGCGCTACTCTACCCTGAATACTGCCCACCGCACACCCCACCCACCGGGATTACTGCCTACTCTCCACACTGCCCTACTAAGGCACTGGGATTTTGTCTCTGTCCATTTTCAAAAGGGTTCCAGGGCCTACCTCCTTATCTTTTTTTTTTTTTTTTTTTTACAATTCATTTATTCGTGAAAGACACAGAGAAAGAGAAGCAGAGACACAGGCAGAGGGAGAAGCAGGCTCCATGCAGGCGCCAAACCGCTGAGCCACCCAGGGATCCCTGCACCTCCCTACCTTTAGACCAGTTCCACAATACATCTCCAACTAATCACATTCAATCCTTGTGTGAAGGACCATCACCTCATTCGTTCCCCCCAAACCTGCCCAATCTGGAAAGCACCATCTCTAACACGGTACACAGGGCAGCAGACCCAGGAGCTCACCTCTTGCCATTTTTTTTGCTCCACACTGGGGAGACTACGGCAGCTTGAAGTGCAGCGGGTGGAAGCCGTGCAAACGGTCGGTCACCAAACTGACTCACGTCATCAAGGGTGAAAACATTGGAGATGCATGCACATTTGATTGGGTCGTTAAAATCCATTTTTTATACAAATGAGAAATGTCCTTAAGTTTCTCTCAGGCTATTATGGGACACAGATATGTAAATAAATAAGGTCCTCCAGGCAAAAGAAAAAAAAAATCCATTTTTTTTTTTTTTTTTTTTACAGTCCAAGGAAGGAATTGCAGCATTCCTCCTGGCTAGGTGTAATTTAAGCTGTGCATCTGGCTGGTCTCAAACACTGCCCTCAGCTTAGACGTGACCTATAGGTTTAGGAAAGATAGCTAGTTTCAAGTAGCTCCAGATAACTTAAAATAACATTCAGTTTCAAGATATGGCAATCTCTGAGGGACTTTTAAAAAGTGTTTTGTTGTTATTCTTAGTACTATGAATGCAGAAAGAAACTGGACTCTGAGAACTTATTTCTGACCCTCGCCAGCTCAAACCCCATCTAAGGGCACCCTGCACCTTGCAGAACCCGTCAATGACCAGGTCCAGCTGCCATTCTCTTCTAGCAATTTGTTCAATCAGAACAGAAAGCGGGGGCACCTGGGTGGTTCAGGGGTTGAGCGGCTGCCTTTGGCTCAGGTGTGATCCTGGAGTCCTGGGATCGAGTCCCACATCGGACTCCCTGTGTGGAGCCTGCTTCTCCCTCTGCCCATGTCTCTTCCTCTCTAAGTGTGTCTCTCATGAATAAATAAAATCATTTAAAAAAAAAACCAGAAAGTGATGCACATAGATGTTAGAACCTAAGTTCCAAAACTGAACTGGAGTTGATGAATTTTACCCAGGCTCTGCAGAAAATAATACACCGTGACTCTGTTGTGGTCACTCTAAGTGGATGTCTTCGGCAGGCAAACCTTCAGAAAGGACGCACTTTAACAAGTGTCATCATCACATTGCAGGAATACAAATTAACTGCCTAAAAGAGTAAATGGCTCTGTTGACATGGAAAAAGTAAAATTCAATGGAGATACCCTATATAACAGATTTGTAAATTCCTGTGCATCTACAACCTATTTATCAAAAATGGGTCCGTCATTAAACTTGACTCTTGGCCTCTTTGTACTTCTTGCCTCTGATTCAGGCAATCTTCCTTTTCACCGTGCTGCACCCACCACCTCTTTGCTCAAGCCGGTTAATGTTTTACAAAACCAGTCACTCCTTTTTCTCCTCCTCACCTGGATTTGATAATCCCTCCAGATAGTCCTGCCAGCAGGCATTTGCTGATGGCCTGGCACTTTACATACCTTCTCTCCCTCAGCTCCAGTCCCTGAGGCAGAGATACGGAGAGTCCCCCAGGCCTGCTCAGGGACAGTGCAGGGGAGCTGGGACTGAAAGCCAGGTGCGCCTAAAACTCCAAAGTCTCGGCACGCTGGTCGCCACGTTAAACTCCTCCTACACAGAGGCCAGCTACCTTCCTAAACCAAGGGTTCATTTCTCCAGACTTCTCCAGTGTCTACCGTCACCATCTTCATTCACCCCAATATCTATGAAAACCCTACCCATATTCCCTATTAAGAATCTGGTAAATAATCCTATATTAAGTAAAGTATGTCAGGCCTCACAGTAAAAAAGGGATGGAATGGAGAAAAAAGGGCACAGGTAGGAAAAGGAAAGCAACGGGTAAAAAGAATGGGGGGGGGGTGCCCTGAAAGTGGTGGGCCTCCTGGAGCCTGCCTCAGCACGGAATCCACGACGGGAGCGGCCCGGGGGCCTGCCCCGCGCCTCCAACCCAGGCGGCTCCCTGAAAGGCCAAGGTGACTTCCTACACCCCGCCTCAGGGCAAGCCGGCTCCGTGCAGCAGAGAACAGAGCTGGCGTAAGGTACTCCGCGTCAGCCGCCAGGTTCAACCTTCTCTTGTTCCTTCCTTCCTTCCTTCCTTCCTTCCTTCCTTCCTTCCTTCCTTCCTTCCTTCCTTCCTTCCTTCCTCCTTCCTTCCTTCCTTCCTTCCTTCCTTCCTTCCTTCCTTCCTTCCTTCCTTCCTCCCTCCCTCCCTCCCTCCCTCCTTCTCTCTCTCTCTCTCTCTCTCTCTCTCTCTCTCTCTCTCTCTCTGACTCTCGAGACAGGTCCCCGTTAGGCAGCCGCGGAGGAGGAGGTGGTTTCTGCGGGGACCCACACAGCACGCAGCGCTGGGTGTGGGACACACCGGGCTGCCCGGTCAGGCAGGGCCTTGCCCGGGGGCTCCTGCGGGCTGGTTATGCTCTCAGGGCGACGCACGCAGTCCCCTCTTTTTTTCCCCTTTTTACTCAGGAGTGAGAAAAAAGAAAACCTGGACCCAACTTCCAAAAGGCAACTTTCCAAAGGAGCAGGCGCGGGGGCGCCAGCACCGGCGCGGCGGGCCCTCGAAGGCAGACGCCTGGGAAGGCGGACCCGACGGCCCGGAGGGCAAGGGCGGCCCGGGCGAAGTTCCGAAGAGCTAACGCGCTGCCCCGCCGGCCCCGAGCGCCCCCCTGGCCCCGCAAGCCGCCCTCGGAAGCCGCCCGGCCGCCGCCTACCTGCAGGCCCGGCCCGGCGGGGCCCCGGCGCCGAGCTCATCGCGGCCCCGGGCGCAGCGCCGACGCCCGCGACCTCCGCTTCCTGCGCCGCCCGCGAGCCCCCGCCCCTTCCTGCGCCGCCCGCGCCGCCGCCCCCGGGAGCCCGCCCGCCACTCCCGAGCTCGCGGGGTCCGTCCGCCTGGCGCCCGGAGACGGGCCCGGGCCTCGGGAAGCGCCGGTTGCCCCCCCCCCGCCCCGGGCTCGCACGGGGCCCGCAGTCTCCGCCCCCGGGCTTTGCTCCTCCCGACTGGCTCCGAGGGGAGGCTGGCGCGTGCTCCCGGGCCCGGGCAGGCCTGCCCGTGCCGGCTACTGTATTGGACCCGTTAGGACCAATCGTAAAAGCTCTTGGGGGGATTAGGGACAAAGTAAGACTAAAAGTCTGGCTTTCCTGGGTAAAGTTAATTCGGGGAAGCAATCGTGCAGAAATTCGGAGCCCGAACTTCGGAGCCTACAGATTGAGCCTTTTCTTGAGCGAGCCTGTTGTCCCGACCCGTAAAATGCCGCACCGTGCGCGCTACGTGGGCCCGACCCGGCGCTCAACGTGGCCTGTAACGGGAGCTCCTCCTTGGGTGGTTGGCTATTGTGTAAATTTGCCCCAATGAACAACTCTAACCTCGGCTGAACGGGTGGCTTCATCTTTTACTTCTCTGGGCCTTGTCATTTTAAAAAAGTAACCATCTTCAGAATGGGAAAAGAATGGGTTAAGGCATCATTTCTAATACTTGAAAAGTATAAGGGAATCCGTCTTCTATAAATACTACCCTTATTGGGGAGAGAAAAAATATAACTTGGTAACTTTTCCTACGCGTGCTCGGTTACTAACTCAAATATGAAATCAGGATTTTCCTCATCCCATGTCATTTACTAGTGTTCATTTTGCTGTATTTCAGAAATCGACTTTAGTTACTTTCTACTTAAGACATGCAATATCATTCTTTGCCTTATATGGTTTTGTGCTAATTAGGTCAAATTGACTACTTAAAACAGTGCCTGGCTTCAAAGAACTCATATTTGTTACTATCATCTTTAGCTCATTGAAAGGATTGGCCTTTTGGTTTCCCCATTACCTGGCACAGTTGCTTAGCCTGTAGGAGGTGCTCAGTAAATATTTATCCATTGAATGAGATCCAGGGTTTCAGCATTTGCACTCTGGACTTTATTCAGTTTGAATGTGTTATCTGACCACCAGAACTTCCTGTCCTTTTGCCTAATTTTCAGGGTCTTCTCTGAATCCTGAAAACACTCCCTCTATCAGTGGATCCCCAGTTGGCTGACCTTCCACTTATCTGAAAGGAGCAGATAAAGGAATCTGTTACCCCTCCAAGTACCTTGTTATCTCAGAATATTTTATTTTTAAAACGTGGTTATATTTTAAAATAAAATATTGTCTATCTTCAGATGTAAGTACAAAGCATTTTAGGATACTTATTTCAGAATTTTAAGTATGTAATTTTAGTCTTGTAAAGCAATAGCTATCCTAATAAAAGGGGTAAGTGCCTAGGATTGGAAAACAGGCTGCCTAGATTCTAATCCTGCCTCCATTTTCTTAGCTGTGAGACATTTGCACAAATAAGGCAACTTAACCTCTCCCAGTTTCAAATTCTTCTCTATAAAATGGCGACCAAGCTTACTCAAGTTTTGGAGACAGAAACTGCCAAACTTCTAGAACAGTACCTAGCCCACAGTAAGCTTTCAGTTCATTATTTGTAGCTACTGAAGACTATCTAGGCCACTTCTCAAACTGTGGTCTCTGAGCCAGCAGTATCAACACCATCTAGGAACTTACTAGAAATGCAAACTCCTGGGACCTACAGAAGTGTATCTCCTGAATGAGGAGCTGGGGGTGGGGCCCACTAGGTGTTTTTAATGCCAGAATCCAGTGAATCAACTGCATGCTCACATTTGAAAACCACTGACATAGACGGACTAGAATCCTACCAATCCTACCTTCTCAAAAAACAAAACAAACCCCCCCCAAAAAACCTAAAGCAAATCCATATTATTAAAATAATTAAGATACCCTAAAGACTGAAAGTTACTCAATAGATGGCTTGAATGCACTTTCATAGAACTTTGAAACTGAAGGTCTTAGCTGTCACCTATCCTAGAAATGAAACATACGGAACAGATTTCAGAGATCATCCTCAAATTTTGGTCTTTTTGTTTTGTCTTTTAGTTTACCCCACTAAACCTTCTGGTTTTCCCTACATAAATCACGGAAATATTAGTTTCTATAATCTGGATTCCTACACTTAAGAAAAGCTAAAAGCCAACAAAAAAGGTTTGTAAAGTCCTGAGCAAGGAGATTTTGAAGGATATTTTGGAAACCTCAGCCTGAGGCAGAAAAGCCTAACATCACTATGGCTTATATGCCAAGAGGATACCACTGATCAGTTTTAGTTATTTTTATTAGTAACTATTAGTTATTTCTGGTATACTGGTTACATCAACTCATTCTTGCTTTTATGATTTGAGCAATGGCTGGTTTTACAAGATTAAGCAGTGAGGAAAAACAGCCAACTAAAGGGGCTACTTCAATTATTATAACAAGTCCCTGAATGAATATACTGCAAATACAGTATGTGTGAATTTGAACAATGCAACAAAATATATGAGGGAGGATCTTACCTAATAGGCTTCAATCTACCCCAAAGTTACCGGAAGTCAGTCTACTAAAGAGTTTTTATAGAGACTCCATTGTTTTCATTTTGCTAGATGTTTTTCTTGTTTTGTACCAAGATAAAATATACAGCTTGATTTCCTGATAATCTTGTACTTCTATACTGACAAAAATAGCATTTTTTCATCTTAGGGAGAATTAGTTATAAGCTAATGAAACAACTTTTTAACTAATATTACTAGTATAATTTACAAGCCCACTGAAGGCAAGCCTGTTCCAAATGTGTTTCATTTGGTTCTGTCCTCATATTTCAATTCTGTCTTCCTTAGAGCTTCTGGGTGCCTGAGTTTCTCCACCTATGAAATGAATACAGCCTTATCTGTCCCTGGAAAAGTGTGTCAAAAAGTTTTAAAGACAAAGGCATTATTTGAAGGCAATTCAGTTTTATTTAAAAAATATCAGTATTATGTTTCTTGCATAGAGCTGCTAAAAGCTAGTTTTGGGGTTTTCTTTTTGCTTGTATATGAGTTTTATTCTATGGATAGTGCAGATACCATTCTTAAAATCTAAATACATGCCCTGTGGTACGTGAGTCAAGTGCAGACATCAGTAAGGACTCACATTCAGCTTAACATATATACACATACAGAAATCATTGTAGATTGTACATGTACATGGATTAATATGCATACATATTTCCTAGCTCTGTTTACTGGGAGGGTCTTAGCAGCAGTGACACCTCAACAGCAATGAGCACACTCAGCACCCAGGTATTGGTTCCTAAGTTCCAACAGAAAGCATTCTCCAATAAAAGGAACCAGTGCTCTTTGGAGAAGAGGCTGATTCTGGTGCTGGAAGCCTACAAGACAAGTCTAGAGTGACATCTCCTACTTTCTTGCCAGAAAGTATGTAAGTGCTCAAAAATCAAAAGGATGGGGGCACATTACAGACACACAGGAGCCAAACTGACATAACTCCCAATAGCTGAGCTGGAACAATTTGAGCAATAAAATAAACATTACTCAAAGTCTGAAAGAGATATACATGAGTCCACACTGATATAAATAATTGAATAAATGGGATGGGTGAGGAGACAAATCTTTCTTACAGAAAAATTCCAAGAATCATATAAAGAAATTCCCCTTTCCAGCAGGTAGAACAGAATCTTGCCCACCCCCCACCTTCCACAGACTGATTTGGGGACTGGCTTCCAAGGAACAGAAGTATGGAAAGGGAAAAGTAGTAACTTGACAGTGGAGAAACCCAACAGACACTACCTTCACCAAGTGTTCGGAGTTACCATACCAAGTTGATTACATTCAACTACTGATATGATCTGGTGAGAAGAACCCTTCTTCACCTCTGTGGTTTTCTTCCTGAAAATATCCATAACCCAAGGTCAAATATGAAGGAAACACCAGACACGCCCAAAGTGAGGGGCATTCTACAATACACCTGACCAGCACTCCTCAAAACTGTCAAGATTATGAACAACAAGCCTGAGGAACCATCGCAGACCAGAGGCTTATCAGAGGCATGATGACTAAATGCAATGTGGTATCCTATATTGGATCCTGGAAAAGAAAAATGACATTAATGGAAAAACCAGTACAATCCAAACGAAGTCTAGAGTTAAGTTAGTAATTACTGATGTTGGTTTCTTAATAAATGTTTCATGATTATGTAAAATGTTAACATTAGGAGTAAGGCAAATATAACAAGTCTATATTATCTTCGCAACTTTTCTATAAATCTAAAATTATTCCAAGATAAAAATCTTAACATAGAACAAAAGCTTCTTTGGATCTTTGTGTAGAATTTGTGACCATGAACTAAAGATTTTATAGAATTCTAAGTCTGTCCTCTTGAGAGGCAATGCTGCCAAGAAAATCCATAAATTTATTATAAGTTTAAAGTTACCTGGTCAAGTATTTCAATGGCAAATATTGATAAAGATTAAATATGGACAATGGATTATAAAACTGTTACCTTTTTAAAAGTATCAATTAAGGGTTCCAAACATTTAAGTTAGAGCCCAGTTTGCTCAATTAGTCACAGGGATACACATTTCTCATCTCATAGAGGACACATCCTTAGCAGAAAAGTTCCATCATCTCAGTTTGGAAAGGTATTAGGTCTTTAGCAATGATATCTATTTAAAGTTAGGAATATAGCCCCTTCTCCAGAACATATTTTTCTCTTTGCTCACTTCTGCCTATAGTGACTTAAAAAGAACCACTTCTCCTGGAGCTGTCCTTCTCTGACATTTTCAAGCAGTTTACCTTAATAACTTTGGCTATATAAGCTACCCAAAAGCTATATGGTGCTTGGGATCCAAGGCTAGGGAAAGCCCATAGCCAGCGGGAGGCAAAGAGCAGTAGATGAATACAGCTGTGCTTTCCAAAGGGTGGAAAAGCTTTCAACACATACAGACATTTTCAGAGGCAGCTGAAGTCCTGTGATTTGCTTCTAAACATCTACTAATAATTTTCAAAGTAAATGAGAAATCTACAAAAGATAGTTCTTTGTATCTTGCTTTACCATCCCTTTTGACTTCACAGTTAAAAATTTTTAAAAAAGTATCAAGAATAATATTTATCAAGACAACTATTAGGAAAAGGTTTCAGACTTTTAAAGATATACCTGAATCTACTATGAGGACCAAGTGCTAGGAAATAAACACCAAAGCATAGTAGCATATAATGCTCTAATGTGTATGTGAAGTAACTTCTCATTTGTCTCAAGAAATCCACGTTTTCTTCAATTTAGACAAAGGTTATAGCAAAATATGATATTTGTCATATGAATGATTCATAGAA